CGGCCGCTGGGGGCGCCCTCGGCCCGCCCGCTCGCGCTGCCCTGGAGGGCTCTGCGGATGCGGGAGTTCCTGCAAGGGAGTTCAGCGGGGCGCGCTTGGCTTTGCCCGACAGTCTCTGCCTTTTCAGGAATGAATTTACACCTTTGTCTTCAAAGTAGCTAATGACACTGTGGGACTGATCTCTTCTATGTGTTACTGTTTTCTGCTTATTCCCGTTCTGTGTTCCTTTTCCTGTCCTTCAGTGTGCATTTCTTGTGTATTTAATGGAACGTTTCATAAGATTGTCTTCTTAGCATACTCGGTGCATTTCTTTTTATGTTGTTTTGTGGTTGTCCTTGAATTTATAACATACATTCACAAGATCAGTCGAAGTCTGTCTAAGAAACAGTACTATTTCATGAGTTAAGTATATGATGATAAAATACTTTTAAACTCTCCTTGCAGAACCTGTACTGTAACAACATGTAACTCAGTTGTGCTCCAAATTTTCTGATCAAGGAGATTATGGAGCCACCGAGGAATGTGATCGATGATGTATAGTGAGCCTGGGGAGAGTCACATGGAGAGAAAACATTTTCTCAAGCTTTCACGGAGAGCAAATTGGCCAAGCAATGGCCGTGACTCATCCTCATGGCTGACACTGACAAAAGGATGTACAAAGGGCGGTACAGGGCTACAGGATAAATCCTGAGAGTACTTGGCTGACCTTATCAGATACAAAAGTTACAATTCTGGGCATATAGGTCTTGCTATATCTTGGTCTTAACCATCCAGTAGAAAAGTATAAAAAGGAGGTTTATAATATCTAACTCAGCTACCTGCAACATTCCCCTCTCTGAAGAAGTAAGCCAAACTGCCATGAGGGAAGCGTGGTGGATGAGCACTCTAACTTCTTCAGGCTGAAGGGGGTTGTAGGTTTTTTTTGTTTGTTTGTTTTTTTGTGGAACCGGGGATTGAACTCAGGCCCTTACGCTTGCCAGAGAAGCACTTATTCCACTGAGCCATCTCCTCAGCCCCTGTAGTTGTTGATCGGCAGTCAGATACACACTTCAGAGGTTCTATCTAAAGGCCCTCGATAGATAACAGGTATTTTTCTCTTGGGTGGACGTATAGTTTCAAGACTGGAGGAGACAAAGCCAAACAAACAATTAAACATGCATGTGCCAAATAATAATATCAACAGCATGATTATAAATAGTCAAAAATGATTTTCACCAAGTAGACAATCATGACTGCCATACAAATAATAAAAGATAAGGTCTAGGGGACTTCAGCATCTCACATACCATTTGTTTGATATCTTTTGAACAACCATGGAGACATTAACAGAAGAATCGGGAATGTAAAAACCATTTAAAGTTTGTAATTACAAAAAGACATGTTGGAAATTTGTGTAGGTCATTAGCAGAGATCGCTTACATGTGAGGTTTAATCCCTTTTTTATCTTCCATGGCCATTGTGCGTTGTTTCAAACAAATTGGCCTTTTGTCTCAGCAACTCTGTTATTATTGGGGACACATGAACTGTAGGACTTATGGACAACACTGAGTACTTTCTAGTTCGCAAGTGGGGCTACTGGCTGGATAAATACCAACAAATCTGTATGAGCTTCTCTGAAACGTCTAACAGGCTTTCTTTTTCTTCTTTTCTTTTTTTTTTTTCCTGCGGTACTGGGGATTGAACTCATGACCCTGCGCTTGCCAGGCAAGCACTTATTCTACTGAGCTATCTCCCCGACCAGGCTTTCTTTCTTGTATTGGCAGGTAACATGGGTTCCTACAGATTGAGTGGTGAAAACTCATGATCTTATCAATCTGAAACTTTCTCTGATTCCATAATGAACTAGCAGCTTTGGAAATTTTTGCTTGAAATGTTCCTTCTCTCTGTCTGGATCCAGAGAAACATAACTTTTCCCCTGTTTGTGAACTGTCCTTTATTTATTCCTGTAGGCCAACAGCATCACTATTCTCATTTTCCATGTATAATTCCATTCTGTATTCTTTCTACTATGAAACACTTTCTGAGCATTTTCTATCAACTGAGACCAATTCACTCCTGCAAACCCTTCTAATTTCTGCACTTGTGTCAGATACCTGGGACCCACTGAGCAAAGTATAACTTTTTAGTTTTAAGGCCTCCTGCAGGCAGCCCTGCCCAAGGAACATGAAAGCGACTTCCCCTGTAGTGGATTTCCTGACATAGGACTAGACTGATAGAGGAAGCATCTCGAGGCAATCAGCCCCGCCCTAGGAATGAGAATATCACTTCCCTTCTAATGAGGCAGGAAACCTCTGAGAAGACTCGGTTCACCTGGGCTGTGTGAGGTGGACACTCAAAGCCTTCCTATGCCTCTCTAGACAAAATCTGGTGGATCCCAGTGAAAGGAACCTAAAAGTAGTCAAGCATATTCAGTATAGGTTTTACCTGTATGATTACCTGCTTTTGGTATCTTCTAGGAAAGAACAAGTTTTCTGAGAAATTAGAGCATGTATACTCAAAGCATGAGCACTTGAGCTAACAGGTAAAGTTATAGAAACTTTTTGAGGCTAGCAATCATAACTCACTAGCTTTTAGACGCCGTTATACATGGAGTCTGACAGTTTGCTATAAATGCCTCTAGCTTTGCTTAAGAGACATCACACCTGTATTAGCTCCGAGCATGACATACCTGAGTTACATCAGAAATCAATGGGCTAACTTACACACTTATCATGAAATACATAGCATTTAGTCAGATTTAACCGATGTCCCATTCAGGGCCTTGGGTATGGTCCCACTGTAAGCAAGGGGCACTGCCGAAGGGTCTTTCCTTTTGACACTGTGGCTCTGAGTTTTATGTCACAACTACAAGACCTGGCTCTATCTGCGGCCCAAAGCTGTTGGACACTGTGTAGCCAGTGTCCTTAGAACTTTTTTATGCTGATGGGATTTTATCTGTCCTTGAGGATCTGCTTTAACTAGTGAAATACCTTTTTAAGTCTTATACATGAACAATAATATATAATATTTGTAAAAACTAGTCTTAGAATAATTTTGATTAGTCAGCAACCTGAATATCTTTCACCATCTCAGTTACAGCTAAAGCCAGATGTCTTCTAACGTCTGTTTCTATTGAGGTATGATGACTGGAAGGAAAGTCAGGATGGGAGAAGGACGAAGAGACCTGTGCCAATGTCCAGCAATAGGCTGAGTTTCTTTTCCTCCTATAGTCATGATTACTCAGGGCTCCTCCATGGAGACAGCAGGTGGAGGTAACAGTCTGGCCAGAGGGAGGAGGCAGGCCCAGCCCTTCAGTCCTGATGGACCACGTGGGAGGCCGAGTCTGAGCTCTGGGCCTCCACCTCAGAGTGCAGTCTCACTGTTAGTGGCTGCCTTGGCAGTCAGGGCCTGGCTTGCGGGCCTCTGACGGTAGTCCCTCTTATGCTGGCCTGGCTTCTGACAGCAGCGGCAGATGAGCCTCATTGCCATTGAGCTCTTCTTGGAGCCCAGAGAATCAGACTTAAGGTCTGTTTTGAGGCCGCAACAAAGGCAGCCATTTTTGATCTCTTTGCTTTCTCTCCCTGGTTTTCTCCCAGTTCTGATTATTGGAAATTGTTTCTTCAGTGTCCTATAAAATGTCAAGTGAGTTGTCTGGAGCAAAAGCTATCTTTTATAGCTCTCTTCTAATAACTGAAGCTGACTATATAATGAACTTATTCGTAAGAGTAATCTGTCCCTCTATTGAATTGACTTCTCATGAAGTGTGTCTTACCAGTGCCTCTATTAAACACTACAAAGAATGAGAGCATTGTTCATCTTTCTCCTGATAAATAGCTAAAATTTGCAATAACTAGAAGGCTTGGTTTTAATTCTTCGACCTTCAAGAATACATACTTGAAAGAAAACGTCTGTTTTAGTCTCTTTCCTGGCTATTAGGTGACCAGGAGTTTGCCTGCTTGGGCTCCAGTGGGAACTGGTAGTTCCACTGGTTGTCCATCTTTTGACTCTTTACAATTAACAATATAATATTCCTCTACAAATGCAATAGTAGCTTGTAGTGCTGCCCGTATGTCCATAGAAGTGAAAACTTGGTTTAAGATTAACATTACACCTTTCAAGTGAGGCCTCTAAAGACATCGATGTACTTATCAGGGTCATCAAAAGATTTCTGAGATCTGACTTGATCTGTTTGAGGTCACAGAGAAAAATGCACATGAACTTTGGAAGTTCTAAATTGTCTATTTACTTCTTCGAAGGGCATTATCGTTGAAAAGCTTGCATAAACTCGGTAAGGATGGGTGCAGCCTCGTAGTGGCCTGGATTACCGCTGCTTGAGAAGCCCACCCTTTAGAAAGGCAAGCAGAGGAAACCTTACTTTCAGTCATGGTGAGTGAGGCCGAACTGCCCGGTTCTGCTGTTGCTCACATGTACAATCCAAAACTCAAATAACAACAACCTTCTTAATGCAAACAAAATCTGAAAACAGAACATTTCTTACTATTTCGCTTTTATATCATTTTCTATTTATAAAATAGCACTATAATTGGTACTTTCCTCTGTATTTCATTTGGATTGAGCTGCTCTTTTTCAGCACGTAAGGATCAAACGTCTTCCGGTGCTTAATGAAACACTCCAGAGCAGTAAGAGATTTTGAGTGCGAGATAACATGGAATTCAATAGAAATTACCTTTCTGGGCGTCCCCACCTTCTTTCTAATTGATTCCTCCACCCAGGCGTCCCTTGAGTAGCCACTCCAGAGCAGGTGGATGTTCCTT